TCTAGTTGCTGTATGTGGGACACGGCCTCAGCATGGCCGGAGAAGCGGTGCATCGGTGCGTACCCGGGATCCGAACCCGGGCCGCCAGCAGCGGAGTGCACACACTTAACTGCTAAGCCACGGGGCCAGCCCTAATTTTTCAAATCTAACATCAGTGATAGATCAGTAAGTCAAAGGTAGAGGGAAAATAAAATACTAGCCAGTTGAAAAGCGATACATAAAAGGGCTGAACTAGTACACACAAATTTGAGAAATCTAAAACCAATTCAGAAATTTCATAGATTTACCCTGTATCATACATTATACCTCACAAATAATAACTTAACAGTTACCATATCTCAAGCACCTAATTTGTGTCAGGCACTGCATTAGATGTTTTATAGTCATTACTTCATTTGATCTTAACAACACTAAAAGCATATATTGTTATCCCCATTTTATGGATGAGGAAACTGATACACAAAGAGGATAAATCATTTGCTCAATGTTTTGCACCTACTAAACAGTAGATATAACTCTAAAGTCCATGAGCTTTCCATTATATAACTCTGCCACAGCTCTGCACATGCAGTCCCCTACAACTTCCTCCTCCCTTCCCCATCCCCAACAAACTGTCAATCAGAAGAGTGGGTAGCACAAAAATAAACATGCAACCAAACCTGAAATCTCAGACACAGGTCATATAATCTCCCTGGATAAGTCAGATATTAAACTCTAATGCTGAGGAAATGGTCTAATACTGCTTAGCCTTTAAGGCAAGTAGAGAGATTTATCTCACGGTAGTATATTTAGACATTAAAATAAAGAAAAAGATATCTCCATGATATGTGATCACATATGTACATAAATGTTTTACCTTATACACAACAGCACTGGGAACAAATACCAGTATGAATACATTAACTTCACCAGCTTTATCCAAGTCATTTAATTTCTTCCATGTAAAAAGAGATACCATCTTTTCTATTAGATACTCAGAAAAGTTTCTGAAATATTAATTTATTAATTCCATTAGCATACACTGACAGGACATTATGTTTTAGGTATCACACTAGGCGTTTGTACCCAACATGAATTAAACATAATCCTTGCCATCAAGAAGCTCACAGTCACAAGGGGAGGCAAAAACATAAACAGAAAGTAATGAGGCAGTGTAGAAACAAAGTGATCAAGCCATGCACAGGATATTATCAAGCATCCAATAAAGGTGAGCAGAATTTCAGCAAGAAAAAAGCTTGAACTGAGCCTTAAAGGACGAGCAGAAAATGGCTAGCAAAAAGAAACAGTAAAACCAAAAGCACAGAAGTGTTAACTGATATAGCATGTATGTGCATAAACTGATATAGCATGTATGTGCACAAACTGATATAGCATGTATGTGCACAAACTGATATAGCATGTATGTGCATAAACTGATATAGCATGTATGTGCATAAACTGATATAGCATGTATGTGCATAAACTGATATAGCATGTATGTGCACAAACTGAGTAGCAGCTAAAATTAAACTGAGAAGCACAGTGTCCAGCCATGAGACTAGAGAAGTAGACTGGGGCTACATCACACAAACTTTGTATGCTATGCTGTAAAAAAAAATGGAATTTAACACCTTGTATGTATTAAATTAGCAAACGAGTTTAAATTTTTCGAGAATTTTTTTAAGTATACTAATAATTTCTAATAGGAATGGTGTGGTATTATTACATTTTACATATAAGAAAATCAATGCAATTAAACATGTTGTTTGCAACCGTTGAAATTAATGTGTCCATGATGGCATCAGCTCCAGATGCTCCTTTGTTTAATATAAAATATGTACATACTATACATATCTTTCTTTAGGAGACTATTCTCTTTATTATAAAATATCTACAACACACAAAAGAAACGTTATCTCTCTTTGTGTTAATTACTAGGCAGCATTATCATCAGCTTCCGAAATTTTTATTATTTGCTCAAGTACTAGATTTTAAAGCGCAGTTTAACAGAAAGCTAAGGAACATTTTCTGTGTTTGCTGCATATGTGTTTTTGACTTATCTACTCTTCTGACTGATTGGTGGGGAGGTAAGGGGCATATGCATCATTAAGGTAATGTCACTGCAACAAAGCTGTCTTGCAAAAGGACTGAAAACTTCTAGATTTGACAATTATCTCTTAATATGTTGAAATACAGATTTGACTAAATGTTATAACCAGTTATTAGAGGAGAGTGCTACACAGGCATGCGTGATATAGAAGTTTAAGGCTATTTTTTATACCTATATACACACACACAGAAGAATATGTAACATCATATTGATACATAATATGTATTACCATAATGATACATACATAGCAATATGTATCTTATATAGGAGGCATATGTACTAAATATCCAGAATGTGAACTGTGCAGGGTTTGACTGGGTGGAAAAGTTAAGTGAAAAAGAGATGTGACAGGTCGTGGTGGCTGAAGGATGTCCACTGGCTGGAAGGTAAACAATCAAACCACAGACTTGTCATGGCAGGAAACAGCCCATAGAGAATCCATTGTAAAGGAGGATGTCACTGGGCTGGGCCAAACAGGAGGTGCCACAGGTGAAAGGTAAATGAGAAAACAGAAGGGAACAATGCTCCCGCAAAAGAAAACTAGAAGACACTATACAGTGTTCCCTAGTGGCCACGACATCAAGGGAAATAGATAAATGGACCCAAGATTATGCTGATCTTCAGGGTGATGAAAGGTGACCTGTGACTCTAAAAGCCACTGGATCCAACAGTAACTGACTGAGCAAGATCCTGGAAGAGACGGGTGTAGAATAAACTGAGTCTGCCTCAGAAAAAGTAAGTTCATTTGATACATCAAGAGGTTCCAAAAATAAACAAAACTAAATCAGCAATCCCTACAAAGATGGAACCTCCTCCTCTGTGCACTCACTCTTTTGCACTTATCTCAACCTCTGTACTTAACAGACCACATCTTACTTATGTACATGTTCACTTTCTTTTGAGACTGTAAGCAACCTGAGGGAAGGGAATGTGTCCCCAGCCATGTCTGGCACAGAGCAGGCCCTCAAGAATGTTTATTAAATGACAAATCAATGCTTAAATCATTTTAAAACAGAAAATGAAGAAAAATTAATTCAAGGGGTAGAAATTTCTATTGTCTTACTATGTACCATTTCTTCCTATTCTGCCATAAATAACTTAAGAATATCCTTGAAAATTCAAAGTGTTTCAATGCTTACATTGTGACCATCAGAGTTCTATCTGGTTCTGCTCTAGAAAGCAAAGAGCCACAAACCATGAAAAAGCAGAAACAACAACGCATTCCACCAGCAATTTCAGAGGCAGCCTGAACATATTCCATCAACAATTCCCACTATGGAGCTTCAGAGATGTTTTGCATAGGATCCCTTGCTGGGAGATTGGTAAGAAAAAAAACTAAAAAATCTTTGGTGCGCTAAGAATTTTCAAATATTAATGTTTTTAAACTCTGGGTAGTACGCACAAGTGTTTGCTATATTCTTTGTACTCTTCTGTACTTTACACTGTTCACAAATTATTAATAACAAATAAAAAAGTAATTCTTAGGAATGTGGACCTATTAGAGAAGTAGAGAATAAAGAATTTCTGATACAAATTTACTACTAAAAAGTCTGATCACTCATGATTTACCAAGGAATTATCTTTCAGGGCACAAATATGGAAAACTCCTTTCTGTTTCTTCTTATTAGGTGTGATGATGTAGTGCCAAGGATGGCCTCCAATCTGAAAAGCATTCTCCAGGGAGGACACCTCAAAGAGCAGTGGTGGCGCATCTGTAGAGATGGGCAAAAGGAATTTATTAGCTTCTTTGTTCTGGCAGCCTTGAAACATTCATTAAATGAATTCAAGCTTTCTTTGCATGCATCATTTATGAATTTCCATTAATGAAAAATTACTATGTTCAAGAAAATAAAATACAATCAGGAAAGAGGCCTATTCCTAATAAAAGAGAAAGCTGGTAGGAAACAAATGGTAGGCTATGAGTCAACTTTCTAGACATCTGTTTTCAGGATATGTGTGACCTGCAGCTGAATGGAGAAAGAAAGTGGGCTGAAGGTGCTTATAAGGGCAAAAAATGACAAAGTATGACTAATAAAAGCAGCTGCCATTTACCAAGCCTCTGGTATGTGCAAGACTCTGGGTTATATACTATTTCTAACTCTCATAACAATCCTGCAAGGTAATTAGGTCTAATAATTCCTTCAAATGTGAGGAAGAGATCTTCTATATTTTAGACTAACAGGTTATACTTAGCAAATCTTACAAGAGCAGTCTTGCTTAAGATTTCCAGTGTAGAGGTGACATTAGTTATAATGAATGCAACCACTTAGGATAGGTCCTGTCACAGTGGAAGCTTTATTAAAGGATAGCCACTACTACTAGTATTATCATTAGACAAGTTAACTTGAAGGTAGTTTAGATACATCCAGTCAGTCATTGTCTTTTGGAGATTGACATCATAAAAGAAATATCTGCGGGCCGGCCCCATGGCTTAGCGGTTAAGTGCACGCGCTCCGCTGCTGGCAGCCCGGGTTCGGATCCCCGGCGCCCACCGCTTCTCCGGCCATGCTGGGGCCGCGTCCCACATATAGCAACTGGAAGGATGTGCAGCTATGACATACAACTATCTACTGGGGCTTTGGGGGGAAAATAAATAAATAAAATCTTTAAAAAAAAAAAAAAAAGAAATATCTGTTAGTGCTTCTTAGTCTTCTTTTTTGATAACAATTAATTTTAGGTAGAGTATAACAGATTTACTCAGAGAGATGACTAAGTGGAAGGTACTGCAGCTTCAGAAGGCCAGAATTCCTTCGGGGCAGCCCTTGGGAAATACCACATAGTCTGTTTGGGCAGGTGGCTAATCTATGACTTCTTTGTTTACCTCTCTAATTTGAGAATTTAATCTTTGGTTTATGAGGCCACCACTGTCAGTAAAGAGGCTTATCTTAGGGAGACCATTCATTCAAGAATTACATGTTACATACAGAAGTGTGTGCTTTATTAGGCCTCTTCAGAAGAACAATTCACTACTTACTGCTATACATAGGAGAAAAACAAATAATGAAAAGTGAGTTCACAAACTGACAATCTCAAGAAGAAGAGACAAGTATAAACATACCAAATATACTTGAGTTTTTTTAACCTTGTAAGAAAACGGTAATATTCTTAATATATAAAGAAGTCTTTTTAAGTAGTAAGAAAAATATGAACACCTCAATAGAAAAATGAACGGACATAAGCAGGTAAATTTTGAAAGAAATACAAACATATGTGATAATGTGGGGGCTACCAAATGATGGTGGATGAAGAAAAGAAGAATTATGAAAAGAAAAAGATATAATTAGAGTTTGAATTTGGGGTTAAAATTTTAGGTAGTAATGTTGTAGAGAATATAAAATAGATAATCAAAATAGAAAAAAAAGTCAATGCAAAAAGATGTATTTAAAAAGAAATACTTTTCCTAGCAGTTGCTAAAAACGGCCCAATAGTAGCAGCAGTACTTGGCTCACCACAACTCTGATGGGTTCCCACTAACCCCAAGAGCCCAAATTTTGATGTCTAACATTATTCTCAATTTAAAAAGTCCGAGAAGTTCTCAGAGAGTAGCTGATTCCATGTCTTGTGATGAGGAAATTTTAGGACAGGTCTGAACCATCCAGTTGTTGCTATAAAGGATATTTACAAGAATGTCAGGGTAGTGTAAAAAAATAAGAAAGCCAATAAAAAGAGCAGCATCTTTTTAATGCTTTATTAATTAAAATAATAATTATTAATTATAATACTTTGAATCTCTGAAAGGTCAAACAATGATACTTCAAAGGAGAGTTGTAACATAAAACGTACAAAATGATTGCTGCTGTTTATAAAAGAAGAATGGCTATACAAGGATATGATTTTTCTATAATTTTAAAATACAGGGAATAGTTAACCTTATACAAATCTTCTATTAAATAAATGTTTGTTTAAAAAAGTTTAGATATGTGTTGGGAGAAAATACTAGGTACACAACAGAGTATATAATATACTGTCATGCGCCACATAATGACATTTCGGTCAATGATGGACCACGTATATGACAGTGGTCCCATAAGATTAGTACCATATAGCCTAGATGTGTAGTAGGCTATCCCATCTAGGTTTGTGTAAGTACACTGTATGATGTTCACACATGAGGAAAGTGCCTAGTGATGCATTTCTCAGAGTGTATCCCCATTGTTAATTGTTAATACATAACTGTACTACATTTGGTGTAAGAAAGAAGGTAGTATTTAAAAGATACATATACACATTTGCTTATTTTTACAAAAAGAAACGAGAAAAATAACCTAGAAACTAAAAATAATGGTTACTTATGGGGATAGGGTGGGGTGGAGGTAGGGAAGTAACAGAATGAAAAGGACTATGTGTGACAGCAAAATTTCTTAGAATGTATCTTTTTATATAGTTTTGACCTTTGAAACATATACATTTCATAATTTCAAAAGGGAAAAAGTAAACCAAAAATTGAAAACAAACTAAAACTAATGAACCTAATTATACAAAATTAATAATCTAATCACATAGAAAAATAATTTCAAATAATATTTGAACACATTCTTGTGATAGTACACTTACTAGGCTGTACACTAAAGACAAGAGGAACTGCAGAGAAATCTTAACCTTCATGCCATACTTCAGTCTTTAGTAGTAGCACTGACACGGCAATTTTAAGACTATCAAATATATACTATAGGATCAAGTTTTATTAGGAATCAAGTTCAGTGGAAGTCAAAAGATAGATAAATACAAAATGAAAGAACAGTTAAATTTGGAAATATGAAAATGAAGTAATGAATTTTTGTTTTTAATATACTTCCCAGTTCTGTTCATCAAAAAGTAAAGACACCTGAATGGAATGAGCACAACTAGATCTCGGTCTCTGTCGTGGGTTGAATTGTGAGTCCCTCAAAAAGATATGTTGAAGTTCTAACCCCTTTATCTGTGAATGTGACTTTATTTGGAAATAGGGTCTTCGCAGATGTAATAAATTCAGATGAAGTCATACTGGATAAACGTGGGCCCTAAATCCCGTGAGTTGTATCCTCATAAGGAGATAGAGATTTGAAGACACAGAGGTAAGAAGGCCATGTGAAGACAGGCAGAGATTGGAGTTAGCATATGCTGACACAAACCAAGAAATGTCAAGGATTGCCAGCAACAACCAGAAGCTAGAAGAGGCATGGAAGGATTCTTCCCTAGAAGTCTTCAGAGGGAAGCTGTCCCTTCCAACACCTTGATTTTGGACTTCTAGCCTCCAAAACTGTGAGAGAATAAATTCCTATTGTTTAAAGCTACCCACTTGTGGTGTTACAGCAGCCCTAGGAAACTAACATAACTGACAATGATGTTCCCTATTAAAATGGCTCCTTGCCAGATCTAAGACAAGGAAAGTAAAAGGTAAGCCTGGCACATATGATGGTTCCAGAAAGCAAGAAAATTCTCCAAGACTATTGGGGTATGTCAAAAGGGAGTTCTCAATGGCCAAATTTGGGACAATTTAAGCATCACTAAGATATAATGACTATAACTATATAATTTTGGATAAATAAAAATCCATGAGTCTATTGTGCTTACATATGTGTGTTTACCTCTAAAATATTTTGCCACAATTGGAAGTGACTATTACCCCAACTCCTTGCTCTGAATTTTGGTAATCAAAGAGAAGGAACAAGTATTTACCTTTACTTCTTAGGAGGAATTACAGTTCATCCCTAGTGATGAGTGAAAGTTTTTATTTACAGAAAAATGTCAGCTATTAAAGGTAGAAGGAATGACAATTTTTTAAAACTGCCATTCTGGAACCCACAATGACATAACTGATTCAGGCAAGAATCATTAATAGTTACAGGAATATTCTTGTATTATTTATAATCATAAAATTAAAAATAATCTAAATGTCCAAAGTAGTGAATTGGTTAAATAAATTTATAGTCCATCCATAAAATGGTATATAAGTCAAGTCCTTAAAGCCTCAGGGAGCTGTGCGCACACGTGCATACACAGAATCATTTCCTGGCAAAGGTAATAAAAACACAACGTTCAAAGTGTCAGAAGATGTATAATGAAAACTAAGTCTTCCTTTCACCCATATCCCTCAGAGGTAATTACCGTTTATCAGGTTTTTGTGAATCCTTCCAGACATTTCAAGCAAATCTAAAAGCATATGTTCATACATACATACTTCTAATATATGAATATGAATACTTCACACAAATGAAGCTTTTTACATACAGTTTTGCACTCCTTTTTTGCACTTAATAATATATATTGGGAATTGCTCTATACCAATGCAAAAAGAATTCCTTTCTTTTCAACAATTAAATTTATGACACAGTCAAACAATTAAATAATACTAGGGTCACCCAGCAACGTACACAGTTTCCAATCTTCTGCTATTAGAAACAATGTTATAATTGTACATCTGTCATTTTGTACAAGTGACTATATCTGGGATAAATTCTTAGACATGGAATTGTTCAAGCAGTATATGCATTTAAACTTTTGATACACATTGACAAATTATCCTCCATAAACAGCCCGAAAATAAATAAAAGTGTCTCTTCTACACTTTCACCAACACTGTTATCTAACTTTTTAATATTTGAGAATCTAAAAAGATATATGATAAATTTAATTTGCATTTCTTTTATCAGTGATGTTCAGCTTTACCCTCCCCTAATTAAAAGCCATTTATATTTCCTTTCCTTTTAAACAATATCCTTTGCTTATTTTTTTGTTGTGTTGTCACTTTTTCTTATTGATCTGTAGAACTCTATATATTGAGGAAATTACTCCTTTAATGTATGTTTCACAAAAATGTCCCTGTTTGCTCTTTGATTTTTGAGTTGGTTTATGTTGTGTGTGTGTTTTTGTTTGGGTTGCTTTTTTGTTATACATAAGTTTATTTTTATGTAACCAAACTTAACAATCCCTTCTTTCATGGCTCTGGATTTTGTGTCATACTTAGAAAGGTCTTCCTCACTCTGAGATAAAAAGATTCTCCCAAGTTTTCTTATAGAACTTTAAAATCTTTGATACATCTATTATTTATTTTGGTGTAAAGAGTAGGATAGGCCTCCAACTTTGTTTTCACAAGACTATCTACTAAATAATCTAGATGGAAATTAATTCATAATTTATTAACATTTAAAGGTGGGTTAGGCTACAGATATATGCAACAATATGAACTGAATCTCAGAAATAATATGCTGAGTGAAAGAAGCCAGACAAAGAAATATATATCATACAATTCCATTTACATGAAACTCTAGAAAATATAAATTTAATCTATAGTGGATTGCCTAATCTAAAGCAGAATGCCGGTTGCAAGGCTGGAGGTGGGGAGGGAATTGACTGGGAAGAGCACAGGAAAACATTTTGGTGTAATAAAAAGATTCTGAATCTTGATTGTAGTGGTAGTTTCATGGGTATATACATTTAGCAAAACAAATGTACAGTTTAAATAGGTTTACTACAGTGCATATAAATTATTCCTCAACAGAGTTGATTTTTTTTGAAGTGAGTTATGAAAGACAACTTACAGTATGATTCTTTTTTGACTTTAGACATATAGAAATACATACATCATAAAATTAGGAGAAAAACACACCAAGGTGATAACAGTTAATTCCATGCAGAAGGACTACAAGTGTTTTAAATTTTCTCTATTTCATTTACCTTTATTTCCAATTTTTCTGCAATGAAAATGAACTGCTTTGCATTAAGAAAAAAGCTATTTAAAGTTAAAATGAATATTATTTTGTACAGACCTTAATAATCCTGAAAAACAAATTTGCAGAAATGAATAGGATTTCAGTCTCCACAGTTTGAAAAAATACTCAAAGTTTCCAATATAACATGCTACTTTTCTTAGCCAAATGTCTCAAAATCATTGAATTATATTGTTTTACACTGACAAGTGATTTCACAGATCATGTTTTCAAATATTATTATTTTAAAGTTGAGAAAAGTAAGGCCCAGAGAGGTTAAATGATTTGCCCACTAACACACCACCAGTTAAGTTAGTAGTGGAGTTTCACTCTTACTAACAGCAGACCAAGATTCTGATCCCAAATCCAGTCTTCTTTCTATAAACAGGGACCTAAACCATAGCACAATCCCTCAGGCTCCATGCACTTTGTCTTTAACACCCTCTGTTCTTTGTTTTATTTACTTATTTTCTGCATTTCAACAAGAACGATGCTACCATTTTGGGAAACTCTTTTTAAAATAACTCATTTTAGTTACCACTGGAGCCTGTAGTTTTAAAATTCTTAATAGATTCCTGTATTATATTTGTTTTGCTGGGGGTGAGTTTTCACAAAACTGCCTAACTCAGTTTGTCTAAGGCATTTAAAAACTTGAGTAATTTTTAAAATATTTTTTTTGGAACTTCTTGGATAACTTAACTGGCTATATTGAACTCTTTCAGTAGTTTTCATAGTTTGTCATTTACTACTAAAAAGAACATCTCCTTTTTTCTAACAATTAAGCCTTTTATTTCTGTTTCTTGATTTGTTGATGATACAATGTCAAATAATGATAGAAAAAAATTCTTATCTTATTCTGTCTATATTAGAAAAACCTTTGGAGTTTCACCTAAAAATAAGATGTTTATTGGTTGGAAATAAAAGGAAATGTTCTCAACATGGTAATGAATGCCTCTTAATGAATTATAAATACAGATACATATTAGGATTAGGATAATAAAATGTATTTTTTTTTATTGATGTTTTAATAGTTTTTAACATTGTGAAATTTTGGGTTGTACATTTTTGTTTGTCCATCACCATATATACGTCTCCCTTCACCCCTTGTGCCCACCCCCAACCCTGGTAACCACAATACAGTTTTCTCTGTCCATGTGTTGGTTTATATTCCACATATGAGTGAAATCACAGTGTTTGTCTTTCTCTTTCTGGCTGATTTCCCGTAATATAATACCCTCCAGGCCCATCCATATTGTTGCAAATGGGACGATTTTGTCTTTTTTTATGGCTGAGTAGTATTCCATTGTATATATATATACCACATTTTCTTGATCCAATCATCAGTCAAGGGACACTTAGGTTGCTTCCACTTCTTGGCTATAGTGAATAATGCTGCACAGAACATAGGGGTGCATAAGCCTCTTTGGATTGTTGATTTCAGGTTCGTTGGATAGATTCCCAGTAGTGGGATAGCTGGATCATAGGGCATCTCTATTTTTAATTCTTTGAGGAATCTCCATACCGTTTTCCATAGAGGCTGCACCAGTTTGCATTCCCACCAGCTGTGTATGAGGGTTCCTGTTTCTCCACATGCTCTCCAACATTTGTTGTTTTCTGTCTTGGTGATTATAGCCATTCTAACGGGCGTGAGGTGATATCTTAGTGTTGTTTTGATTTGCATTTCCCTGATGATTAATGATGTTGAACATCTTTTCATGTGCCTATTGGCCATCTGTATATCTTCTTTGGAGAAGTATGTGTTCATTTCCTCTGCCCATTTTTTGATCGGGTTGTTTGTTTTTTTGTTGTTCAGTTGTGTATTTTCTTTTTTAATTTACTCATGTGGTCTTTTTAAATCTCTCGCAAACATTAAAACATCTTTGTCTTCCTGAGATGAACTCTGGTCCATCACGGTTTTTTTCTTTTAATATACACTGTTGAAATTTGAGTAGTAATTGATGTCTTTTTTATTAAACTGAATTTAATAACCTAGTTAAATGTAGAACATTTTTATTATATTTATAGAATTGTGTATAATTTTCTTGTTTGTGCTTTGTCAATATTTAAGTATACTGGGAGGTTCTCTCTGTGTCTAAACTCTACGTTCAGGTGGCATGGTAATTATATTTTCCTTGGAAAACACTTTTCTTAGGGTAAATTTCACATAATTGTAAAATATTAAGTTATGAGGGCATGAAGATGGTATCATTTGCTGCAATTCACCATTCTGCAGATAAGGAAATTAAGACCGGAAAGGTAAAGTGACTTGCCAAAGGTCACTGATCTCTGGCCAAGCAAGACCCAGCATCCCCAGGCCTTCAGTTCAATTAATGACTGATAGATTTTTGTCAACACCTATTCAATAGCAATGAATATGCTGTATAGGAGTAAAATGAATTGAGTTTAAAATTAAATTATGAGAAAAACATTTGGATGATTACAATTAATAACTATTTATATGACCACTTATTTTTTAAGGTGAAAAAATATACTATATAGTAGCCATACCTGTGATTTTAATATTACAAGGAATGCCAAAAGGAGCCTCTCCTACAGTTCCAGTAGTCCCACCCCATCTGCATGCACACCCTAAGTCAAGTTTCTGTTGCATGAACTAAAAACAAAACAAAACAAAACAAAAATGGTAACTTTAGCACCTACTTTTTGCTGTCTGGAGAGACAAAACCAAATTCACACTCATATGACATAGAAAATGTCTTTAATTATTCAAGGGACTTTCTGTTTACCTTCCCACCCCTCTTTTAAAGGTTACTTTGTCTTTCTGCATTTGTATAGCTTTGTAGAGTTGAAATCTACACAACTGCCTTGATCTAAAAGCAGCTCATTAAAAAAAATCATACCTCAGTCCAAACCCCAAGTTAAATATAGCAAATTTCAGTTTTCTCTACCTGCTCAGTGATGGCTTGGAAGCTGTAGAGTCTGACCAATCCCGAGCTGTACATCACAATCAGTATTCCATGAGACAAGGTAGCATCTGTAACATTCCCGAAAATCTGAAGGAAAAGTAGATATCACCTGAGAAAAGACCAGAAGGCCAATCCTCTGAGTGTTCACAGTGGTTTGTGCATTTGCTTAATACTCAGGTCACCACTACAACACTGCTGCCTAGCATTTTAACTTAATTATCATTTAGAAACTTGAAGCTGAAGTGTTAGTAGGGGAGAGTGGTAAGCCACTGAAGTCTCAGACTGGAGCACTAATAGGAATGTGGCACATTTCCATCAAAATGATGCAGCAGCATTCATTTGCTTCATCCATTTGCTTCACAGTTTTGTCGGTATCTTTTAATAACAAATCCTACCTCTCATGGACATAGGCATACACTTAGTCCATGTAATTCTAAATGAACATTTACTCTACCATGCATATCCTGCCAGGAAACTATTCTCCTTGCTAAATTGTTATTTATAAAGAAACTTATTTTTTAGCTAGAGGGTGAAGAGATTGGATTTAAGAAAGTAATTCTAATAAGAAACAGCCAACTTTAGAATTTTATCATTACCTTGTTTTTTAAATCTCTAATACTGTTTGACTTTTTTGGTCATATAAAAACCAAACATGTTAAAGACCAAATACCTGCAGAGACATTTAGCCTAACTGACCCTGAGTAAGGCTTTGGCTCATTGTTTCCTTTCCTTCTGTTCAGTGCACTGGATCCTGTCATGATTCTCTATAGAGCTCTGATAAAGAACTTGATTCTGTGACTATTTTAATATTTAACAAAAGCCAACATAGACAAATATTCATAGCAATGAAAGAACAACTAGAAATTAAGTGAAAATCTGTTTCTATTTCTACTCAAGACAAATTACTTAGTGAAGATTTACTATCCCAATAAATAGCTTAAAGTACATTCTGAGCCTGGTCCCTGGGTATTATGCACGGTAAATGAAAGATATACTTCAAGTCCAAGTAACCATGATCAAAACCAAATCCCTCAAATGATTATCTTGGATATGTAAGAATAAACAGAAACAATCTGTGACTCTGCTAAGTGTTCATTCCTGGTGCAGACTGTAATAAGCATACACAATTACTTAACCACAAGCACAAAGAGAATTCATGAGTTGTGTTTTTTGGCACCTCTTAGAAGGATAATTATGGTTTGCTTTGATCTTGACTAGCTCATGACTTTTTATTCACTGGTTTTCATTCCCCACTTTGAACAGAGAACTTGTGTAATACAAACATAGTCTCAAATAATGAGCATTATAATAAAGTAGCCACTCTATTTTAAAATTTTGTTTATACTTTGGAATCGAACCTAGGCTCAAATTCCAGTTCCTCCATTTACTACCTTTAGGATTTGAGTAGCTGCTCAACTTCCTAGTTGAATACATTATGTGTTACAATGTTGCAAAATACTCAAATTGCTTGGCACAAAATAAACAAATAACTAATATTATTCTTTAGCCTTTATGTAGTTTAGTATTTAGTATATTTAGTACATTTTATATAATATAAAAATTTTTTAATACATTCACTTTGTTTGCTAATGAGTATTAGTGGGCCCTCAAGATTTGTTATAACACTTCAGGTGCTCAATTAAAGACTAGTAGAATAGACCAATAAATAACTATTCACCCAGAATAAGTAAAAATTTTTAAAGGAAAGTAGAAGAGTAGCGAATCTTTTACTCAAAGGAAATTTGTCCTTTCTTTCCTCCCATATAACCACCCCACAAACAAGAAGAATGGCAACAACAATAAAACTCAAAACTGAATGAGTTGGAAAATTTACATATTCAATTATAAGGCTTGTTAATGTATCACAAAACAAGTTTTAGACCTATATCTTGCAATTAAAATAAGGCATTTTGTTGTAGCTTTTCACCTTTCTTTAAGGATCATTTTAACAAGCTTTGGAATATTCTTCTGAAAAAAATACCTTATTCATTCATAATTTTATAAAACAGTGATTTGTTAATGACCACAAGTATTCAACACTATCCGCTTTAGAGGCACAAAAACACACAAGGGATGATTAGGCTCTCTTCCCACATCAAATACTCTCACGTATTTTGACATGAAATAAACTAGGTCAGCGAGCCTTTTACAGTCAGGGAAACATTTCCAATCAAAACACCTAATAAGCAAATAATTAAATGATGACATTACATCTTACTGTCAAAAAATTAATATTGCAATTAAATCAGAAATGAGTTCTTACCTTTTTGTTGATCTCCAGAATCCCTACGAGTGAAAAAGGTAGAACATGGAACACTGCAAGGTACAGCAAAACAGGCTGTTGAATGCCTGCCTAAAAGGAAAGACCAAAATTACAGGTGGCTCTCAAGAGTATTTCAGAAACACTGTTTTCATGAGCTGAAAACATCCATCTGTCCTAGCATGCAGTTATGTAGATGTTTCTATGAACTGAAAACATCCATCTATCTACAATGCCATGTTACTTAAACAGGAAGACATACATGTTTAAACTTAGCCCTTCAGACACACACATGCACATAAAAATCTATAAAAGTAAACATAATAGTAAACATTTCTTAGCAACAAAATATATTTTATATACTATACAACAAAAACATATTTTATATACTGTGTAATATATGTTATAATATAAACCAATATATTCACTTATATTAGTATAAATATAAATTAATATAAATACAATGAATATATATTGTATTTTAATATAATATTGTATTAATTTATATTGTAAATTGGAATTCTAACAATAAAGAACCTAATCACAAGACACATAGTTATCACGGTCATAACATTTGAAAGTAGCATTACACTGAGATAGCTATATGAAATGAGAAAAAAATAACAATAAAAGCTTGAGTGATTTCTCTGCTTGAAGAGGATAGCTCCTTTGAAGAACAAGGTCCAGTCAATTTCTTTCCACTATGGAATGAAAAATAATCTGTTGTACTTCCCCAGAGGGGCTTGAAGGGAATTTCTTAAATTTGTGGTAAAAAACTCTTATTGCATGCTTCAGAAAACAAAGATCATTAGTTCTTTCATAACAAATTTGTAGACAAATTTCTATGGCAACAAATTCTTCATTTTGTTGAATGTTTAAAGATGTCTACCTGCCGGGCCGATGCTGAGCCTTTGTTCTGAGCTGACTTGACTGCAATGACTTCTTGAGGAGTGTCCCAGCTCAAGTATCTTTTAAAAGAATGAAGAGAAGTTTATTCATTTGGGTCAGTGTCCTTATACTTAAAATCAAAATACAGTAGTTTCCCCTTATCAATGGGGAATACATTCCAAGACCCCCAGTGCATGTCTAAAACTGCAGATAGTACTGAATCCTATATACACTATGTTTTTCCCAAACACACATACCTATGATAAAGTTTAATTTATAAATTAGGCACAGTAAGAGATTAACAACAACTAATAAACAATTATAATTTATAACAATATAAATTATAACAATTAGAACAATACACTGTAATAAAAGTTACCATAGATTTTAGCACCTCAGCATACAATTTTTTTCTTTCCTTATTAAGTCAAGAACTTTCACCTTTTCACTTAAAGGAAGCACTTTATAGCTTCTCTTTGGCATATCCGAATTGCCAGCATCACTACTCTTGCACTTTGGGGCCGTTATTAAGTAAAATAAGGGTTATTTGAACACAAGCACTGTGATACTGTGACAGTCTATCTGATAACCAAGACAGCCTCCAAGTGACTAACGGGTGGGTAGCGTATACAGCACAGATATGCTGGACAGGGATGATTCACGTCCTGGGCAGGACAGAGGGAGATGGTGGGAGATTTCATCATGCTACTCAGAATGGCACCCAATTTAAAACGTATGAATTGTTTGGGCTGGCCTAGTGGTATAGTAGTTAAGTTCTCGAGCTCCACTTCGGTGACCTGGGGTTCGCAGGTTCGGATCCTAGGTGCAGACCTACATACCACTCACCAAGCCATGCTGTGGCGGTGTCCCACATACAAAAAAAAAAAGAGGAAGGATGGCACAGATGTCAGCTCAGGGACAATCTTCCTTAAGTAAAAAGAGGAAGACTGGCAACAGATGTTAGCTTAGGGCAAATCTTTCTCACCAAAAAAAAGTATGAATTGTTTATTTCTGGAATTTTCCATTTAATATTTTCTGACCACAGTTGACTGCGGGTAACTGAAACCATGGAAAGTGAAACTGCAGATAAGAGAGGGACTACTGTATAGTAGATATTTTACAAATAGACAGTTTTTTAGTTACAAACTGTTTAGTTAAATTATAAAAGCAAAGTAATTTATTTTAAAAATAAATAAAAAGCTAAAAGAATTCCCTCTAGATCCTTATATGAATATATTCCTATGAAAATATATATCTATAATTTTAATCCTTCTAGAGTTTCAATGAATAATTGTGTTTGATCTAATAGTATTCAAAACTTAGAAAACAAAATAACTATTCCTGCTTTAAAACAGAAATTATAAAAAGCATTAAAAATGTTACTTTCACATTTTGCCTACATATATTCACTCCAAAAATTTACATCTAATTTATAAAACTCATAGTTAAAATAACAGTTCTTACATTGTACTAGGCAGGTTATTTAACTGAAACAGATTAGCCTTCAGGAAAATTTACCATAAAGTGCATCTTACATATAAAATACTATTTGTAGAAAGGAAACACAGGAAATTTTTTTTTTAAAGTTTATCTGCCCACTACTATAGATTAGTTACTTATGAGAGAGACAAAGAAAATTATAAAGGGTCTCTATATGCAGATGTTCAAATGTAGTCATGAAGGGAGAAAAAGAGAATCAGTTTATAAATCAAGATCCAGGTATAAAATGGAAAACTTAAAAAAAAGAAAAAAAGCTCGAGGCCACAAGTCTCAAATTTTTATAACAAAATCTTCAATAATAAAGTCACCATTAATACCTGAATTTGCAATACGAAGCAAGGTATACTTTCTCAAGGACTTTTCCCGTGGTTGCTGATATACGAAGTAGCCAATTATGAGCAGTCACTGCTATGAGCGAGGATTTATAATCTGATGGATTGTGCAGCGTTTCTCCCTAAAAAAATGAAGTGTACAAATAAAACTGCTTGGCTATGAACAATCTGCATTACCAATGTCCAAAGAAAATAGCTAAACACTTAAAGAAATAGTCAAATATGTAAGCCAAAGAAGAAATATTAAATGTGCAAATAGAGAATTAAGGAAAGATAAGACTGTGGGTAATTATTTTCATCAACTTAATATTCATTAAGTTATTTTATTAATTTATTCATATAAAGCACTTAAACAGTACCTGAAATAATTTATTACTACTTATTAATTACCATTTGTCATTCAGTATTCAACAAATGTTAGCCAATCATCATAATAACAATAGTAGTAACAATAGTAGTAGAGTATTACTAATAATGCTGCTGTGATAACGATGACAACAATAACAGTTCTTAGCATAAAACCATGTATGATAGCATAGCAATTAAGAGTCATTTTCCGGGCCAGCCCGGTGGCGCAGCAGTTAAGTGCGTGTGCTCCGCTTCGGCAGCCCAGGGTTTGCAGGTTCCGATGGCAGGCACGCACAGGCACGCACCAATGCACCGCTTGTCAAGCCATGCTGTGGTGGCGTCCCAGATAAAATAGAGGAAGATGGGCACAGATGTTAGCCGAGGGCCGGTCTTCCTCAGCAAAAAGAGGAGGATTGGTGTCGGATGTTAGCTCAGGGCTGATCTTCCTCACAAAAAAAAGAACAAAAAGAGTCATGTGCTAAAATAGACGTTTCTTTATTCTAAGACTTGTTTTCTTTTTGATAGAAGTCAAAATGGCAAAACGGCAAATCACTCACTGTGGCTCTACTCTAACCCCAAATGAAAAGCTAGAAACCAGAATCAAGGCAGCCAAAGAAGAACAGAAGATGGATCTGGTTTTAAAGATGACGTATGTCACCAATGAATTACCCCCCAAAAAGAGAGACAACAGTTGTTCAGGCATACTTGCCACTGACGAGCTACCGCAAGGTGGAAGTCTAAAGCAGGAGGAGAAAGAGAAGCCAAGGGTTCTATGTTGATTTGTGGAATAAAAAGGAAGTTCTAAGAGGAAGTTAAGAACAGGAAAGTTGACATTAATCTACTATTTGTTTAGGTTGTTAGTGAACAGATGAGACTGAAGGCATAGTTATTTTATATATGCTCCTAAAGATTTGTCTTTCCTTTCAAATGTTATGGAAAGAAACAAGGTTTTTTTGTTTTTTGATTTTTTTGTTTTGTTATTTTGCATTTTTTGGTTCTGTATGTATATTTTTTTAAGTTTATTAACTACCAAAAGTCTAACACTAAATTCACAGGCAATGATGTAAATTTTTTATTCAATGGTGTCTTATACAAGTATCATTTCACGGAGATTTTTAAGTTTTTAAAAATGTACTATTTATACTTGCCTATTAAAAAAAAAAGAATTTGAAAAAAAGAATATATAATAGGTTTGAGCTATTTTCCTAAACCAAAAGTTGTATTTCACACATTGTCTCAGAAAAAAAGGGTGCTAATTTAAACGCAGTTTCATATCAATATGTTAACAACAATACAATATGCTTCTTAGTTTTTCTTAATGGAAAATCTTGCTTCACTTCAAATGTGAACAAAATGTTTAAAGAGAAATGAGAATAGGAATTACGGTTACTAGAAACTTTATTTTTGCAAGATTGCTCTAAATTTTTGGTGTTTTGTACTGGTGTCTTCAAAACTTTTCTCAGTTAAGAAACCTGTCGTGCTCCTCCCTTCCACCACTGAAAATGGACTAAAAAGCTTTAGATGTTGGGGGTACAATAGTTATTTTTAGCTTTCAATAGGAGTTGGGAAAGAAACCATAGATTAACAACTTTCTGAATTTTAAAAAGGAGCCTCCTATGAACAGAGAATAAGGAAAAACAAAGCAGCAGCTCCAGAAAACTACAATTTTATGTAAAAACAATAGTTAAAAAAATTTTTTTTAATAGTTTTTAATAGAGGCTCAAAGTCTAGCTTCTTATCCTTTAAACATGATTTTTGGTCATATATTGTGAGTTCTATTTTTCATAAAGAACAACCAGCCAGATTCGAAGACCTGATTAATTTGTTGCAGTATTTCCTAAGTGCATTTCTTAGAACACTAATTCCTTGGAAAACTAGTATTTAGCAATATACCTCAAAAAAGGAAGTTCTATGATCAAGAGTTGGGGAAAATGGTTTGACAATCACCATGCACATCAATATCACTAAAAGTATTATTAGTATTAAAGGCTCTGGGAAGTAATTCTATAAATAAATTTGTTTAACCTTTTAAACTCAGAATACTCCAAACTAATTTGTCTATAACCCAATTCCTCCCAACTCCTTTAGCAACTATAGATGTTAACACCTTTTGAAAACAATGTTCTGAAAAATACATATGGGGGCAACGCTGGTCTGATGGAACAAGCTTATCCTATTATTTTATTTTTTATCTTTATCTTATTATTTTCCTAACAAGAATCGTGGAGGAAATTCCTAAGAATCCACTTTTAAAGAGTCATGTAACATAACTGTTGCTCTAAATAAATATTGTGTTTCAGTTTATTAAGTAGAATGATCTCTTAAACACTAAGAATAACTATAAACTAGTTCATACAGCTTATAGAACTTTTAATCAGTTCATAACTTTTTCTACTTTTCCAGCTTTATAAATGGCATCAAATTTTTTAAACACATTCATAATATTAATATATAATTTTTTAAAATAGAAATTATTTCTTGAGGAAAAATGATAATCAAAAGATATACTCTCTTCTTGATTCCTTTCAAGATTCAGGAATCACTATGACATATAAGTTTTATTCCTTTATACAATATATTAACAACAATCAGTTCTTCTAGGCTAAAAATGCTTTAGAAACAAATGCTGAAAAACAAATCTTACCACTTGGCATTCCCATAATAAAGCATCCTCTATTTTTTCCGATTTGGAACATTTTGGCATTTCATAAAGTTTTCTTGGCTCTGATGCAACACTGGGGGGAAAAAAAAAATTCTTCTTGATAACTGAGAGAGATTTTTTTCTATTCAGAGATTTGGAATACCAAAACACAACTTGCTACTTTGCTTTCCTTTTCTTAATTAACTGTTAACATTTTTTTCTGATCACAAAATTCATAATATACATTCATAGAAAAAAATGTGAAAGATATAATAAATTAAAATAGATTATAATGCTGTAAAACTACCAAAAATAACCATTATTAACATTTTGGTTCATTCCCCTCTAGTTTTTCTTTATATACCTATATACACTGGCAGATTATTTTCCAAAACTGGATCATATTGAATTCTTTCTTTACTCTTGAACATTTACTATGAATATCTCCGCTGAACTCCTTGGCATTCATAAGCTGTCATTTCAATATTTTAAAATGAAAAGTAGTTAAAAAGAGTCCCATTATTTTAGAACGAAAATTATGGACAAAAAAAAGGAAATACCTTTTAAGGGTTTTTACTCCCAAATTGCCTTTCAGAAAGGTTGAACAAGTTTATACTTTTGCCAATATTGAACACTTTTTTTTTTTTTTTTTTAGTGAGGAAGATTAGCCCTGAGCTAACATCTGTTGCCAAGCCTCCTCTTTTTGCTGAGGAAGACTGCCCCTGGGATAACATCCGTGCCCACCTTCCTCTACCTTATATGGGACACCACCACAGTATGGCCTACTAAGCGGTGCATCAGTCCGCGCCTGGGACCCGAACCGGTGAACCCTGGGCCGCCAAAGCACAGCATGCGAACTTAACTGCTACGCCACTGAGTTGGCCCCTGGACACCATGTTTTCGATGTTAAAAACAGTCTCTGACCTTTAATTTATACTTCTTTGATTACTACTGAGATGTGATCACAGACGTTTTCATTTTTTTTAACTGATGAACTTTAAAATTAAACTACTATTTAGAAACAATTTTCAGGGTGACAATTTTATTCACCTTTGACATTCTCTCACTGATTCAATGGTTTAAACCAAACAGAAATCACAAGAACAAAAGCAACCTCATGTGTGATCCTAATCTATGGGTAAAAGAACCCTGAATGGCATATTACAGAACCCCAATACTTCTTACCATCAGACCACCAATCAATGTCACTTACTCTAATTACTCTCTTTTTAAATTAAAGCAGATACCTCAAAATTGGGAAAGTTATGAAATGGGCATTAATTGATACTCAAATAAGTAATTGATACCCAAATTGAATAAAAGAATTATGGCTAATTTTTCTAGGTGTGATAATGACATTATGATCACATAAGAAATTGTCCAGATTTCTACTTCCAGCAGGATAGCATGAGGAGCTCTGTGGTCATGCTCCCCAGGAAAACTGGTGAAAACTATAAAAAGACAACTATTTCAAGTCTCTGAAAATGGTCCTGGGGCATACAGCAAATGAAGAAACATTTATTCAAGAAAATCTACTAGAGCTCAGCAAGAATAGTGCATCTGTGATGTCTGAACTAGAATGTGCTACCTCCCCACCATTCTCAGCTCAGCGAGATGAAAACTCCACTCCAGACTGGCACAGCCAAGAACACAGGGCTTTCTCTACCCCTAGCTCTACCTTCTCAGGAGGGGCAGGATGACAGCATTTCTTATCCAGCCCCCAACTGCTTGTTGCTGGGACTGAGTCCTGGGTGAGTGCAGTCAAGAGGTGAGGTTTCCTTCTTCCACCTAGTCCTTACTCACAGGAGAGAGGCTCTCCCTTGGGCATGACATGCCTAAGAATACTGGAGCCCTGACTGCCCCTATCCCATCTCATAAAGCAATGGTTCCACACTGAGAAAGGCAAGAAGATCTGAGGCTAATGCTTGCCCCAACCCCAAGCGCTCAGCTTTTAGAGTAGGGTAGTCACTCAGACAGAAGCGTACCATTGACCCCCACCACTACCAGCTCCAGAGTCTTGGCCTGAAGCTTTTGCCTGTGAGAAGATGGCCTCTAGTCTCTTCCCAGAGAAACTGACTTCATTTGAAAGAGTGTGGAAAAGTTCTAGCCTAAGTGCACTCTCAAAACCAGGGGAGGTTGTGGTGAAAGGCAAATGGAAAGAGACTGGTAGATTCACTGGCCATACAGGCTAAACCGCAGGCTGGCTAAGTTGCCATAGAGAACCAGAAAAAGACTGCTGAGAGCCCTCCTGGGGTCAGAATAAATCTCAAACACTACCTAAAAAACTATCCTTTCTAACTGCTCGTTTCTGGTCCAACATGTGTAAAGATTTTGGAAGTCATCACTCTCGTCCTCACAACAAGAAAAAAGCTGAACAAACTGAAAACCAACAACTCTTAGTAGATCCATCAGAGAACTGATGTCACAGGGCAAACTGCTGCCCCAAAAACTGGCAAGAGAGGTGGTTACCAAGACCCACAGCTTACTAGGAGCAAAAGCCCAGGAGTAAGCCCCTGGAGTCAGTACTAGGGAGACAAAAACAGGGACACTAGAGGAAATTTTAGTCTCTGACACCTACAGTTAGAGCAGACAACAAACACAGCCTAATTTCTAGCCAGTTAAACATAAAACTTCACTCTAAAGACCTAATTACTGCAATTCCTTTTACCTGATACATCAAATAGAACGTTCAACAAAAAAATTACAAGTCATGGTAAAATGCAAAACACAAAGGTTGAAGAGACAAAACAAGCATCAGAACCAAATTCAGATATGTTGGAGATTTTTAAATTATCAGATTCGGAACTTAAAGTAACTATGATTAATATGCTAAGGGTTCTAACGGAAAAAGCGGACAATATGCCAGAATAGATGGGTAATTAAGCAGAGAGATAAAAATTAAAAATTCTAAGAAAAGAATGAAAAGGAAATGCTAGAAATCAAAAACACAATAACACAAATGAAGAATGTCTTTGATGGGCTCATCAGTAGACTAGACACACCCAAGGAAAGAATCAGTGAGCTTGAAGATATGTCAACAGAAACTTCCCAAACTAGAATGAAAAAAGCAGAACAGAATATCCAAGAACTGTGGTACAATTAGAAAAAGCATAATGTACACATAATGGGAATACCACAGAGAACAAAACAGAAGAAATATCTGAAATAATAATGGCTGAGAATTTTCCAAAATTAAAGACAAATACCAAACCACAAATCAAGGAAGCTTACAAAACACCAAGCAGGATAAATACCAAAAAATATACACCTAGGCATATCATTTCCTAACTGTAGAAAATCAAAAACGAAGAGAACATTTTGAAAGAAGTCAAATGAAAAAAGGCACCTTACCTATACAGCAACAAGATAAGAATTATATTGGACTTCTATTCAGAAACCATGCAAGCCAGGAGACAGTGGAGTGAAGTATTTAAAGTGATGAAAGAAAAAAACCCCACCAGTCTAGAATTCTGTATCCCGAGAAGTTATCCTATTTAAAGGTCACGGTGAAATAAGATGTTCTCAGACAAACAAAAATTGAGGGAATGTGTTGTCAGTGAACTTGCCTTACAAGAAATGTTCAAAAAATTCCTCACAGAGAAGAAAAATGACATAGGTCAGAAACTCAGATCTACATAGAAAGGAAGAGTGTTAGAGAAGGAATAAATGAAGGTAAAATAAGATCCTTTCTTTTTCTTATTCTTAATTGATTTAATAGATAAAAATTTGCTCGTAATAATAATAGCAATAAGGTATTCAGTGATTATAGCTTATGGATAAGTAAAATGAATGACAGCAACAGTATAAAAGGCAGGAGGGAGGAATTAGAAATATTCTGTTACAAGGTACCTGCACTACCGATGAAGAGGTATCATGTTATTGGAAAGTGGACTTAGATTAGTAGTAAATGTATATTGCAAGTTCTAAGGCAACCACTAAAAAATTTTTAAAAGAAATATAATTGATATGCTAAAGTGGAGAGAAAATAGAATCATATAAAATGCTCAATTAAAGTCAGAGAAGGCAGAAAAAGAATAAGAGACAAAAAAGAAACAAAGAACAGAGGCAATGAATAGAAAATAATTACAAATGTGGCAGGTATTAAACCAATTATATCAATAGTCATTTTAAACATGAAAGGTCTAAATACGCCTATTAAAAGACAGAGATTGTCAGAGTGTATAAAAAAACAAGAGCCCCCACGCTGTCTACAAGAAACCCATTTTAAATACAAAGACACAGAGAGATTAAAAGTAAACGAAGAGAGAAAGATATACCAGGTAAACACTAATCAAAAGAAAGCTGGAGTAGCTATATTAATTTAAGACAAAGCACTTTGACCAGGAAAATTATCAGAGATAAAAACATAATGATAAAGGGGTCACTTCTCCAAGAAGACATAAAAATTCTTAATGTGTATGCATCTAACAACACAGTGTCAAAACATGAGACAAAAACTGACAGGACACAAGGAGAAACAGACGAATCCACTATTACAGCTGGAGACTTCAACACAACCTCTATCAATAACTGACAGATTCAGCAAGCTGCAAGGCAGCAAGGATATACTTGAACTGAACTGTACCATTAATCAGCTCCATGTAATTGACATCTATAGAATACTTCATCCAACAACAGCAGAATACCCATTCTTCTCAAGCTCACCTGAAACATTCACTAAGACTGCAATCTGGGCCAGAAAACACAACTCCGTGAATTTAAAAGACTAGAGATAATACAAAGTATGCTCTCAGACCACAATGGAATTAAACTAGAAATCAATAACTGAAAGATAGCTGGAAAATCCCAAAATATTTGGAGAGTAAACTACACACTTATATTTAACACATGGGTCAAAGAAGTCTCAAGAAAAATTTAAAAACATTTTGAACGAAATGAAAATGAATATACAATATACATATCAACATTTGTGGGATGCAGCAAAAACAATGCTTAGAGGGAAATGTATAGCATTAAATGTATATACTGTATTAGGAAAGGAGAGGTTGTTCCAGGTTGGTGAATACATGGAGATTCAGCGAGAGTGGAGTTCTCAGAGAGCAGGGAGGCTCTGCACCCTTCCCACATACCTTGCCCCATGCATCTCTTCCATTTGGCTGTTTCTGAATTATACCATTTTATAATAAACTGGGAATCTACTAAGAAGCCAGTCACAAAAGACCACATCTTATGTGATTCAATTTATATGAAATGTCCAAAATAGGTGAATCTACAGAAACAGAAAGTAGACTAGTAGTTGCTTAGGGCTGAGGGTGATGAAGGTATTGGGGTGATAGCTAAGAGGTATAGGATTTCTTTTTGAGGTAATGAATATGTTCTAAAATTAACTATAGTGATGGTTGCCTACGTGAACCACTATTGGTTCAATGAATAGGAATTTCAATGAACAAAAAATCATTGAATTCTACACTTTAAGTGGGTCAATTATATGGCATGCGAATTATGTCTTAATAAAGCTGTTAAAAAAAGAAAAAGAAAATGCCCATATTTTTTAGAGAAGCAAACTTAAGTAGGGCATGATATTTAGAATATGCTTTAAAATACTTAGCAAAGAGGTAAAGAAAAAGGAGGCGATGAAATAGATAAAGCAAATTTAGCAAAATTTTGATCGTTTTGGAATCTAGGGAACGAGTATATGGGGGTTCCCTACACTATTGCCTACTTAAGCGCGTTTGAAAATTTTCTCTTAAAGCGAACAAACAAAAAAAGGCAAGTACTTCCAAAACAGAAATTCTACTCTAAACCAGCATCTAATAATTGGATACCCGGTTCTCTTGCCTCTGATATCTTTTAAGAAGAATAAAATACTGCACAGTTTTCTGAGCAATCTATCATTTTGTCTGCACTATAAAGTAAGTTCACTTTAAATTGGTATTTACAAAGATGAAATCTGCAACTTTAGATTTAACAAGATTTTTAAATTACACGCATTTTACCACATACTATTATTTTGGACCCATTTTTCCATTCTCTTATTTCACTAAGTACTAATGTAGGCATGTGGTTTCACAAAAATTAGAGTTAAGATCAACAGTGAAGTGAATTACAGCAAAAATTTTCACCAAAAAGATACCTGCTGACACAGCACCGATAATTGTCAAAATATATTCTTCCTCTCTCATAGGCTATGGGTGACTTGGAATGAGTTGTCCAAACATTCTTAAATTTAGTACTTTCCTGAAAGACACAAGGAGTTTCAGTTTAAGAAATAACTCATAAGCCTCTACTGTGCACCAATTTTAAGTTTGATAGTTAAATTTACAGTTTTCAAAGTAATTTCATGCATGTTATTTAAAAACATTACGTTCAATTCTTCCTCATTCTGCCCTCATGTTTTGGTTTAAGTGGGGTGACCAATTTTTAGAAAGACTATTTGCAACAAGACATAAGAAGCTTAAAACGAAAAGCATCTGGCGGTCCTATTAACAGCTATTTACTAATCCCCAAGGTTCAGGGCATGGATTCCCCTACCCAACACACGTGATCTTTTTAAAAGAGGGCTTTGTCAGGTAAAAACTGCACCCCAGCAGGAGGCTTGACCGCCAGGCGCCCCACTGCCCTTGGTTCCCCTCCCGGCCGGCTGGCGGTCACCTGGCACACCAGCACCCGCAGGATGCCCAGGTTCGTCCTCTGCACCACGCCTGCGTCACGCGAGAAGAAGCCCAGCGCTCGGCGACTCAGCCGGCGGCACACGTTGGGCTTCCGGGTTGGGCCCATGGAGACGCGGGCCGGGCGCCGGGTTGCCTGGGCCGAAGAGGGGCGCGCCCCTCGCTCCCGGGCGAAGCAGCGGCCGTTACTTCGAAACCTCGAGGCCCCGACTCCCTACAGGGACCAGAAAAAGGTGACACGGGGAGCCGGGCAGGGGGCGCACGGCAGCCGAGCGAGGGAAGGCAGAGCCGGCGCTGCCTGAGCGCGGAGTAGACACAAGGAAAACACACCACCCTACCGGCCCGCCCCTCAAACGCTCTCCGTCTCTGGACCCGGCTGCGGACGGTGCGACGCTCCCGTACCGCGCGGCCTGCCGGAGCCGCTCTACCACCGGGAAATGTAGTTCCCACTGCCCTCTGAGCGAGCTAGGCTTGTCCCCAGAACTACGATTCCCATCAGGCAGCGGGGAGCGAGCACTGACCCCGGCCCCGCCTCCGCCTCCAACCCGCCCCGCCTCTTCTGGCCTGGCGGAGGCTGCGCTCTAGGGCTGGAGCGCCTTTCCGGGTCTGCACGCGGCGCACAGGGGAGAACCCTGGGGGCGCTGTGCTGCCGCCTCGTGGTCTCTGTTCTCTGTGCGCCCCCTGCCCTCAGGGGTCCCTCCCTTGCCGCCCCGCTACCCGTACGCCTCTCAGCCCCCGATTTTCGCTCTGGGACTACCTGGCTGGGCGCCGAGAGGGGCGCTGTGTCGAGTGCGACCCCCTAAAGCAACGTCCTGTGCTAAAGGTACGCCCCGCGTCTTTCCCTTCAGTAGCACGTTGGACATCGTGGATGAGGTTGACAGTTAAACATTTTGGGTCTGTAAACACTATGCTTCTTTTGTATTATGAGTTACTAGTGGAAGATGCTGGCATTCCCACCAAACTAGGGTTGAATTACTCTTTCCCAGAGGCCCGCCCTTCTGCGGCCTGCGAGGACTAGTTTTGCAACAATTGCTGCATTTTCCTTCCTCTCGCCTCCTTTTTTTCCTTCTCCTTATTGGGAATAAAATATGAAATGTTTACATTCTTACTGGACTGCCTAAGATATTCCACGTTGATTCCTCTAAGTAAAAGATAACTTTGTCAACTAAACCTGCCTGTAGGGTCCAAGTTCCCACTACACTACATTTTCAGTAATCATGCACCAGATATGTCCCATTGCTTTTCTTGTAAGTCCCTTGAGGGTGCATCTCCCACATGGGCTTTGCATGCTATCGCTTGTTCAGTATGGCTCAAAGGAGTGATCACATCTGACTGACAAAGCAAAACGTACAATCCTGGGTGAATGCGTCGGGTCACAATTGAAGTGTTTAGAAAAAATATGCCATATCTTTTTTTAACCCTGCTGAATTTCCTGCAGGGTCTGGGCTTTTGCTGATTTTTCGTGACTTATTTACAGCATACTGTGGAGTGCTTTGTATATTTTTAGAGAGCGCTATAATAGTTAATTTGGTAATTCATGAATGCAGCTGTCACCGAGAAAACTGGGGCCCAGAAAAGATAACTGGATTTTCTTTGGCTGAAATGAAATTCAAATCATTGCTGAACTGAATTCATCATCTCCCTTTTCCCCTTCTCCTTGACACCCACTTGTTTGTCTTCCTGTGTTCTTTATCTCACCACCAAGTCACCCAAGAGACAGTCATCCTAAGTGCCCTCCTTTCCCTTGCCCACAACCAAGTCCTTTTGATTCTAACTCTTATCCATCTCGTCTTCATATCCCCTGAGTAATTTAGGGCCTCACTGTTTATTTTATCACATTATTATATTAAGTAGCCTCCTTTCTGCCTTAAATACTTTCAAGTCCAACCTTCCATACAGCTGCCAGAGTGATTTTTCTACAGCACAAATCTGTCATTTATTAAAATCTTTCAGTGGCTCCCAGTCAGCCAGAGCAGAAGTTCTCAAACCAGAGTAGATACCCAGGATTCTCTATTGTTAACTTAAAATATTTTCAGTATGTTAAATACATGCAAATATAAAATTATATATAAACTCCCTATGTTGTATCTTTTATACAGCTATAACTCCCGAACAGTTATAAGTTAAATTAAGCAAAACTATAAAACAAATAAATTCATATGAATACTTATTCATTGTTACCAGTGAGACTGTTTTTACTGGACCTAACACACTCTAAAAGCAAATGTTCACTGTCCCCCATGGGATAACTTCCTTACAGAAAGACCTGTCCATGTTATCCTTGTGTTGAGAGATTACTCAATGCCCTCACCTCTTTTCTTATTTAAACCACTGCAAAACCTTCATTTGACCTTCACTTGACAAACAACATCATTTACTGCGTAAAGTAGTCCCCATTTCTCATTAACCTGTGCCGATAACAAATGGTACCACTTGTTTGCCAGCGCGCTCCTAAACACAACGTGTGAACTGAAATCTTGTGACACTAATCAATTAAAAGGTGGTCATCCAGATGATCCAGAGTGTCCTTTTGTTAAATTTTTTTTTTGTTTAGATGTTTATCAAATTGAAAATAAAATGTCTCTCTGAGAAATAGTGTACTACATGTACGAATCCCTAGGGGTCTGTAGAGGTGCTTTATAGGACAAAATCTGAATTCCTTAGTGTAGTATACAGGGCATCGATTATCTGCATCTTGTCCACATTTTCAGCTTCATCCCTTTGTCCATCTTTCACATTTGCTCTTGTGGTTCTGACATGTTGCTCACTTGTTCAAACCAATGTGCCTTTACTTTTAAATGTTTTTCTTTGTTTGGAGCTCCCTTCCTCTCCTCTTACCTATTTATCTCAAGACTCATCCCAAGTATCACAGCTCCACTCAGACACTTTTTCTGACCCTTCCACTTTAGTTATGGCCTTGCCTCTTCTGCATGTTACTCTGCATGTGTTGCTTGTGGCACTGTATTAGAATTGTCATTTGTCTTCCCAACATATTGTTTTTCGAGTTGTCCATTCATTCTTTCAACACACATATGTGTTAGGCACATTTTAGGCAGTGTACTAAGGATGCATATGTATGTTGAATGAATGAACAATGTATACAGTCTATTATCAGCAACTGAGTACTTTTAACATAGACTCAGATTTATTCTCCCTTTATTCTTTAAATCAGTAGGAAACCACAATATTAATAAGAAGAAATAATTTTTCAAAAACTTAAATCCCCAACAGTTCAACCTATAAAGTAGATATTTTCCATTTGTTGAAGGTAAAATGGCATGAACAGATATCCCTAGCTTAGGATTTGGAAATGACTTCTCTTAATTTGGGGCATAGAACAAACATTGGTTCTTTTTTTATTGTTATTCAGTCTGTGACTATGTGATGTTTACAGAATACTTAACCATCTTTGCCATGATATTTCAAAGACAAGAAAGAGGAGATATAAATTGAGAAGTTAACAAAATGCTTTTTGTTCACATAGTTTGTTTAAAGAAGCATAATATAACTGAATAAATACATAAAACACTCAGGTTATTAAACTTGAACATTTGTTCAGAGACAGAGGAATTTGAACCAAGGCCACAAGAAGTCATTCATTCAATGTGTAATTATTTTCATGTACAATGTGCTGACAACTATTTTGGCATAGGGTATAACAGTGAACAGAATAGGCAAGGGGGAGATAGACAAATAAATAGATTATAAAAATAAGATTTTATGTAGTGATAAGTGCTGTGAAGAAGATAAAACAGAGTGATGTGCTTGGTAGAGAGTGGTGGGAGCCCTGCTTTAGCCAGAGTGGTCAGGGAAGACCTCTCTAACGAGTGGACTTTTGAGCTGAGTCCTGAATGATGAAGATGAGTCAGTCTGCAAAGAACTAAGGTTGAAGTAGTCCAGGCAGAAAGATGCTTGAATGCAGGGTTTCCAAGGCAGTAACAACCTTGGCTTATTCTAAAACTATCAGAAGGCTAGGATGGCTTTTTAGTGTGCATGAGGGAGATGAACTTGGAGAGGTAGGCTGGAACCAAGCTAAGTTGAGTGTAAGGAATTTTGGATTTTATTCTGTTATGATGGGAAGCTATAGGAGGCTTTGAAGAAGGAGAGTAACGTGATCTAATTTGTGTTATAATAAGATCTTTATGGCTATAGTGTGGAGAATGTACCATAGCGGGGCAAGAATGGAAGCAAGAAGACAGGTGGCTGTTCCATTAACTGGCTGGTCCAGGGAAGAGATGATAGTGTTTGGACTGGAGTGGTAGCAGGAGAGATGGAAAGAAGTGAACAGATTCAGAACATGTGTTGGAAGTAGAGTTGACAGGACTTCTGATGGTAGTGGATATTAATGATGAAGAAAAGAGTCAAGTGAAATCATAATAAAGTAGAATGACAAATAAACATCCCAACTCCCCAGAACAAATGGAAAACAGGAAACTACTCATGATGTGATGTCAATGAAATGATGCCTAGATTTTATTAAATGTACACATTAGCATTTTAGACATTAATGCTAAAGAATGTTAGGATCTGTCCTGTGGCTGGGGCATGTGGGAAGAGGGGAATAAAGTCAGGTCTCAGAAGTAGGCAGGGATCAGAGCATGTGGGACCATGGTAACGTGATGGAAAAATCACTAGTGATACAACATTCCCTTTAAGAGATAGGAACAAGAGTGAAATAGACTAGTTAGCAGGTAATTGTAGTAGTCCAGGTGAGAGTCACTTTTGGAAATTTATTTTGAAATTATTGAGGCTTTTGACCATAAGTTTTGTTCTTATGTTTCCCTTTCTCTGTAGATTTTAATGATATTTGTCTGAACATGTAGTACCTTCATGCATATACAAAAATCCAGAAAGATTTAGGTTTAAAGGATTGACAGTAAAGTTTGCAAACTATTCCTCTTATTTAAAAAAACATTTTCTGTATTAGATAACATAGCATAATGTATAGATAATAATTATAAAATGAATACCCATATATCGATCATCAACTTTAAAAAAAGCAAAACATTACTAAAACTTTGACGTCTCCATGTGCCCCTCCTAGTTCCTGGATCCCTCTTTCCTCTTTATTACAAATAAAATATTGTTAAGTTTTGAATGTTTTTGAACATCATATAAATTGAGTCATACTGTATATATGTACTTTTCTACAATTTGCCTATTTTTTCTTCAACAGTGCACTTGACAAAGTACCTGTAGTCCATTACATTTATTTTTGCTACTATAGAGTATTTCATTATATGAATTTACTACAGTTTATTTATCCATTTTCCACTGGCTGGGCTTCTGTTTCATTCAGGTTTTTTATTCCTAGAGAAGTGCTGCTATAGACATTCTTTTTTTTTTTTTTT